TATAGATTCCGCCGAGGTGATCCAGTCGCGGCTCAACGAGCAGGAGGGGCGCCAGGAATTCTACGTGCACTACGTGGGCTGTGAGTGCGGAACAGCCGGAGCAACAGCCGGAGCAACAGCCGGAAACAGCCGGTTTGGGGGAAAAACACCCGGTTTGGGGGAAAAAACACCCGGTTTGGGGCCAGGAACACCCACTTTGGGGCCAGGAACCCCATTTTGGGTCCAGAAACCCCATTTTGGGTCTAGAACTCCCCATTTTTGGGCCAGAACCCCCCATTTTGGGTCTAGAACTCCCCATTTTGGGTCCGGAACCCCCATTTTGCGTCTAAAACGCCCCATTTTGGGTCTGTGACTTCCCATTTTGGGGTCCAGGACCCCCCAGTTTTGGACCAGAACCCCCGTTTTGGGTCTGTCACTTCCCGTTTTGGATCTAGAACTCCCCATTTGGGGGCCAGAACCCCCATTTTGGGTCTAAAACTCCCTATTTTGGGTCTTTGACTTCCCATTTTGGGTCTAGAACTCCCCATTTTGGGTCTAAAACTCCCCGTTTTGGGTCTGTGACCCCCCAGTTTTGGGCCAGAACCCCCCATTTTGGGTCTAAACCTCCCCATTTTGGGTCTAAAACTTCTTCCCATTTTAGGGTCCAGGACCCCCCATTTTGGGTCAGTGACTTCCCATTTTGGGTCTGTGACTTCCCATTTGGGGTCTGTAACTTACCATTTTTGGGTCCAGGACACCCCTTTTGGGTCTAAAACTTCCCATTTTGGGTCTAGAACTCCCCATTTTGCATCTGTAACTTCCCATTTTTGGGTCCAGGACCCCCATTTTGGACCAGAAACCCCATTTTGGGTCTAAAACTCCCCATTTTGGGTCTGTAACTTCCCATTTTGGGTCCGGAACCCCCCATTTTGGGTCCAAGACCCCCCATTTTGGGCCAGAACCGTGCATTTTGGGCCAGAACCCCCATTTTGGGTCTAAAACTCCCCATTTTAGGTCCGGGAACCCCCACTTCGGGGCAAGAACCCCCCATTTTGGGTCCAGAACTCCCCCCCATTTTGGGCCAGAAGCCCCATTTTGGGTCTAAAACTTCCCGTTTTAGGGCCAGGACCCCCCGTTTTGGGTCTAGAACCCCCATTTTGGGTCTGTAACTCTCCATTTTGGGTCTGTAATTCCCCATTTCGGACCCAGAACTCCCTGTTTTGGGTCTAAAACTCCCCATTTTGGGTCCAGAACCCCCCATTTTGGGGTCCAGAACCCCCCCAATTTGTGTCCAGAACCCCCTGTTTTGGGTGCAGGAACCCCCACTTTGGGCCAGAACCCCCATTTTGAGACTAAAACTCCCAATTTTGGGTCTAGAACTCCCCATTTTGGGTCAGAACCCCCCTTGGGCCAGAACCCCCATTTTGGGTTTAAAACTCCCCATTTTGGGTCTGTAACTCCCTGTTTTGGGTCCAGAACTCCCCATTTTGGGTCTAAAACTCCCCGTTTTGGGTCTGTAACGCCCCATTTTTGGGTCTAGAACTCCCCATTTTGGGTCTAGAGCCCCCCCCATTTTGGGTCTGTATCTCCCCATTTTGGGCCCAAAACCCCTCATTTTGGGTTCAGAACTCCTCGTTTGTGTCCGGAAATCCCCATTTTGGGTCCATCCCTCCCCATTCCGACTCCATCCCCCCCATTCCGGCTCCATCCGTCCCCATTCCAGCTCCATCCGCTCCCATTCCGGCTCCATCCGTCCCCATTCCAGCTCCATCCGCTCCCATTCCGGCTCCATCCGTCCCCATTCCAGCTCCATCCGCTCCCATTCCGGCTCCATCCGTCCCCATTCCAGCTCCATCCGCTCCCATTCCGGCTCCATCCGTCCCCATTCCAGCTCCATCCGCTCCCATTCCGGCTCCATCCGTCCCCATTCCAGCTCCATCCGCTCCCATTCCGGCTCCATCCGTCCCCATTCCAGCTCCATCCGCTCCCATTCCGGCTCCATCCGTCCCCATTCCAGCTCCATCCGCTCCCATTCCGGCTCCATCCGTCCCCATTCCAGCTCCATCCGCTCCCATTCCGGCTCCATCCGTCCCCATTCCAGCTCCATCCGCTCCCATTCCGGCTCCATCCGTCCCCATTCCAGCTCCATCCGCTCCCATTCCGGCTCCATCCGTCCCCATTCCAGCTCCATCCGCTCCCATTCCGGCTCCATCCGTCCCCATTCCAGCTCCATCCGCTCCCATTCCGGCTCCATCCGTCCCCATTCCAGCTCCATCCGCTCCCATTCCGGCTCCATCCGTCCCCATTCCAGCTCCATCCGCTCCCATTCCGGCTCCATCCGTCCCCATTCCAGCTCCATCCGCTCCCATTCCGGCTCCATCCGTCCCCATTCCAGCTCCATCCGCTCCCATTCCGGCTCCATCCGTCCCCATTCCAGCTCCATCCGCTCCCATTCCGGCTCCATCCGTCCCCATTCCAGCTCCATCCGCTCCCATTCCGGCTCCATCCGTCCCCATTCCAGCTCCATCCGCTCCCATTCCGGCTCCATCCGTCCCCATTCCAGCTCCATCCGCTCCCATTCCGGCTCCATCCGTCCCCATTCCAGCTCCATCCGCTCCCATTCCGGCTCCATCCGTCCCCATTCCAGCTCCATCCGCTCCCATTCCGGCTCCATCCGTCCCCATTCCAGCTCCATCCGCTCCCATTCCGGCTCCATCCGTCCCCATTCCAGCTCCATCCGCTCCCATTCCGGCTCCATCCGTCCCCATTCCAGCTCCATCCGCTCCCATTCCGGCTCCATCCGTCCCCATTCCAGCTCCATCCGCTCCCATTCCGGCTCCATCCGTCCCCATTCCAGCTCCATCCGCTCCCATTCCGGCTCCATCCGTCCCCATTCCAGCTCCATCCGCTCCCATTCCGGCTCCATCCGTCCCCATTCCAGCTCCATCCGCTCCCATTCCGGCTCCATCCGTCCCCATTCCAGCTCCATCCGCTCCCATTCCGGCTCCATCCGTCCCCATTCCAGCTCCATCCGCTCCCATTCCGGCTCCATCCGTCCCCATTCCAGCTCCATCCGCTCCCATTCCGGCTCCATCCGTCCCCATTCCAGCTCCATCCGCTCCCATTCCGGCTCCATCCGTCCCCATTCCAGCTCCATCCGCTCCCATTCCGGCTCCATCCGTCCCCATTCCAGCTCCATCCGCTCCCATTCCGGCTCCATCCGTCCCCATTCCGACTCCATCCGTGCCCTTCCCGCCCAGTCAACCGGCGCCTGGACGAGTGGGTCGACCGGAACCGCCTGGCGCTGTCCAAGACGCTCAAGGAGGCCGTGCAGAAGAGCGCGGAGCTGGGCCTGGATCCGCCCGGAGAACAGCCGGAAAGGAAGATCACCCGGAACCAGAAGAGGAAGCACGATGAGATCAACCACGTGCAGAAGGTGGGAATGGGATATGGGGTCGCTGGGAGTCATTGGGAAACGTTGGGAGTCATTGGGAAGAGTTGGGAGTCGTTGGGAGTCGATGGGAAATGTTAGAAGTGGGAAGTGTTGGGAGTCATTGGGAGTCATTGGGAAGAGTTGGGAGTCATTGGGAAGTATTGAGAGTCATTGGGAGTCATTGGGAAGAGTTGGGAGTCATTGGGAAGCATTGGGAGTCGTTGGGAAGAACTGAGAGTCATTGGGAGTCATTGGGAGTCATTGGGAAGCGTTGGGAGTCATTGGGAAGCATTGGGAGTCATTGGGAGGAGTTGGGAGTCATTGGGAATCATTGGGAATCATTGGGAGTCATTGGGAAGCGTTGGGAGTCATTGGGAAGCGTTGGGAAGAGTTTGGAGTCGTTGGGAAGCATTGGGAGTCATTGGGAGGAGTTGGGAGTCATTGGGAATCATTGGGAATCATTGGGAGTCATTGGGAAGCGTTGGGAGTCATTGGGAAGCATTGGGAGTCGTTGGGAAGGGTTGGGAGTCATTGGGAAGAGCTGGGAGTCATTGGGAGTCGTTGGGAAGAGTTGGGAAACGTTGGGAGTCATGGGGAGTCATTGGGAAGGGCATATGGGGACACTGGGATACGGTGTCACCGGTTGGCCCCGGTTGTCACCGATTGTCCCTGGTTGTCACCCGTTGTCACCGATTGTCACCCGTTGTCACCGATTGTCACCCGTTGTCACCGATTGTCACCCGTTGTCACCGATTGTCACCCGTTGTCACCGATTGTCACCCGTTGTCACCGATTGTCACCCGTTGTCACCGATTGTCACCCGTTGTCACCGATTGTCACCCGTTGTCACCGATTGTCACCCGTTGTCACCGATTGTCACCCGTTGTCACCGATTGTCACCCGTTGTCACCGATTGTCACCCGTTGTCACCGATTGTCACCCGTTGTCACCGATTGTCACCCGTTGTCACCGATTGTCACCCGTTGTCTCTGGTCTCTCTTCCCCCACCCAGACCTACGCGGAGATGGATCCGACCACGGCAGCGCTGGAGAAGGAGCACGAGGCGGTGAGGGGACATTGGGGACACTGGGGACATTGGGGACATGAGGGGACACTGGGGACATGAGGGGACATGGGGGACATTGGGGACATGAGGGGACATTGGGGACACTGGGGACATGAGGGACATTGGGGACATGGAGCGACATGGGGACATTGGGGACATGGGGGACACTGGGGACATGAGGACACAAGGGTGTCCCCAACATGTCCCCATGTTCCCGCGGTGTCCCCGTGGTGTCCCCATTGTGTCCCCATGTCCCCAACGTGTCCCCGTGTCCTTGTGGTGTCCCCAAGCTGTCCCCGACGCATCGCCGCGGTGTCCCCATGTCCCCACGGTGTCCCCAACCTGTCCGTGCGGTGTCACCAAGCCATCCCCATGTCCCCAACATGTCCCTGCGATGTCCCCAACACATCCCCGTGTTCCCAACATGTCCCCAATATGTCCACGTGGTGTCCCCAACCCGTTCCCCTGTCCCCAACATGTCCCCGTGATGTCCCCAGTGTGTCCCCAACGTGTCCCCACGATGTCCCTGACGCATCCCTGTGTTCCCAACATGTCCCCATGGTGTCCCCAATGTGGCCCTGCTGTGTCACCAACCCGTCCCCCTGTCCCCACGGTGTCCCCATGATGTCCCCGTGTCTCTGTGGTGTCCCCAACATGTCCCCACGATGTCCCCAACGTGTCCCCACAATGTCCCTGTGGTGTCCTTAATGCATCCCTGTGTCCCCAACATGTCCCCG